ACACAGTAGTATGAAACTTCAACTGCGTGAAATACACAGCAGTATGAAAATTCGGCTGCGTGAAACACACAAACTTCACGCATGCGTGGAGTGTATGGAGTGTACGGGAGTGATTCACGCAATGGTGCGAATAGTCACGGCCATCAATTTATCATTGATTTAAATGGGAGGTGTGAAGAGAAAAACGTGAATATCTCGAAAACTAGATGCACAAAAGTGGGCCGTCTTCATGCGGCCATACCCATTCAGATGTGAAACTTTCGCGTATTATAATGAAACAATTTCCATTCTGGTAATTTTTAACTTGCGATTTTTTTACTCGAACAAGACTTGCTTGGGAACATGTTGATTTTTTTCTCAATTTATTGAACAACGTACTCTTCGAATGTTCAGAACGGTATTCTTTATTCTTGAAAATTCCAAAAAATGACAAATCTATACTAGCATACGTATTTCATTCTCGGAAAGTGTTATTTTTATGTGGATCAATGGAGTGTTGTTTTTCGTTTTCAACATCCAACATCAAAAGATAAGAACTTGTTTTTAATCGAACCAAAAGATAAGAATTTAATTATGAAATAGAATAATAATGACGATATGATAGCAATCGTGTGACTTAGTGACAAAATATTTCTCGATTAATTCCACTCTATGGGACATATTTTCACCCCGAAAGAGCACTAATTTGTGGGAGTGACTCGCCTCCTGAACCAAGTATTTTATTGTTGAATGCAGAGCGATTATTTATGTTTGAAACTTTCGAATAGGGGAGGGTGGGGTAAAATGGACACTTTAGACTTTTTTAAAATTATTCGTAAGTCAGAAAAAAATTTATCAATTGAGCTCAGTTTAGACTCGTCACAAAGGGAAAGAATTGTTCTTTGTATTGAAAAAAAAAGTTATTAAATTGTATCGACATTTCAAACCCTCATTAACATTTTTAAAAAAGTCAAAAGTGTCCGTTTTACCCCAATCTCACCTATTCTAGTAAAAAAAATGTCATTTTGGCACAAGACTTATTTGAGAACATGTTGCTTCTCTCTTAGTGCATCAAGCATAAACAAAAGAATAAAAAATCCGGTCTCTACTGATGAAAAGTTCGATTCTCAAAAGTTCAACACAACTGTCACCTCCAACAAAAAACATCTCCGACTTATCTATCGATTTCCAGGTGAGAATATATAATCCATGAAGACATTTTCTCCTTTATGAGCACGATTATTATCCCCCATCGTAGGTGTGTTCAGTGTTTAAAAAGTAAGGAAAAAAAGGGAAAGAGAGGAGAGAAAATTATATAAACACGTGGATGTGCACGGTAAAGTAGGTAATGGTGCTATTTATAATTTTGTCAATAATTATTGTGTGTTAGGGTTGTGCGTCATTAGCATCTATGCACTGGCCAGATGTAATTATAGAGATTCCAGGCTGCTTTGACCATTGCCAATTGATCACGTTTAATAAGGTCTGTGCTTACTCCTTTGAGGAATAAATAAAAGTGGAATTTCTCCTGTAATTTCGTGAATTACAGACGAAACGACTGATTTGAGAGCGTAAAAACACCTGATTCGTCATTAAGAAAGGGGAAAAATTCTCTCCAAAACAAAATAGTCCCCATCAATTTGTAATTTTCATACCTTTGGTATTTTCGCAAACTTTCCAGTTCTAGTGTCACGTATCACAGCAATATCAATCATATCAACTTCGTTGTTCTGATCCACCCAGTGAAGATAAAACCCAAACTCATCGACTCGCAGAGTGACTGGGGTGGCAATACCAGAGTCCTGAAACCACCCAAAAATACCCATTGAAAATAACTAAATAACCCGTAGAACTTCCCCACTAAAATGCAGGCCAAATAAAGTAAAATATGAATCCCCCAGTCTCCCACTAAACTAGCAGAGATGCTAATAACTCCTCATAAAAAAAACTTCCTAAGGACCTTGGCAACTCCAATGTAAACACAAACTATACCTATACATCCCAATAAACCCCAATTTAATCCCTCCACCCTCAGTGAGCAGAGTCTCACCTCCAGAGACCCCCCCAGGTTCTCCCCGACCCCAGAACCCCGTGAAATTGAAATGGAGAATAATAAATTCACTTGCCTCATCCCACTTGATGAACTTCTCGCCCTCCTGGAGTTGCTGTGACACCTCCACAGCCTTGGTCTGCACAGCATTCACCACAGGTTGTTTATTATTCGCCATTTTCCCTAAGAAGCCCTCAACTGGCCCGAAAAATCTCAATCACCGAGCATCCACGACCTTGTCCACCGAAAATACTCCACCACCAGGAGCTCCTACCCCTCTAGCAGTACCAGGTTAACCCCAAAATGCCCTCAAATCGTCAACGATCCCCCCGGAACAGCCAATTGCTCATTTCCAGCATTTTTCCCCTTTGAAGAACGTATCAACGTCACTCGTGTCCTCTTGATGTTGTTGACAGTACCCTCTCGGGGGATGAGTGCACCGCAAGTGCCTCGACATGGACTCGAGCCGGAGAAATCCCCGAGTAACCCTCCAACCCCACACTCCGAAGGAAAAAAAATAATGAGAACACCTTGCCAACTTTTTCCCTCCAACCCCCCCTGACTTTTTCGCAACCTCTCCCCTGCCGCAAGGTTTGTTACGTTTGAGATTCGCCCAGAGGGGCCAGTCTCCACTCGTCCGGACACACCAACAGTCTCACAAAGTACTTGGTTTCATCCCCCAACTCATCTCCACTCTCGTCTGGCCACCTCTCTCACTCCACTCACTTTTATTTATTTATTTTATCGATGGAAACAGTCGTGTATGTGCCATTCACTTCGCTCCAATGTTGTGTGGAACCACCTTCCTCCTCTCTTTTTCACTGAGCCCAACTGAGCCTTCCCTCGGCCCGCGAGGAGAGCAGGTGAATTTATACTGCTGGCTCGAGACAGATGGCTCTCACAGTCACGTTTCTGCGCGCGCGGTCATACATTTTTTCGGTTTTTTTTTAGGGAGGGGGCGGAGGGCGCGCAAGCGTTCGATTTTGGGGAATTGTTACAGTTGTTGTGGGGCGGAGGGTGGAATATTTGTTTTTGGGTTCTGGGGGAGATTATTGTCAGAGAGGGGGTGAGGGCTGGGATTGGTACGGATATTGGCATTTAGATTCTGTTGTTGAGGTGGTGTCTTTTTGAAGATGAAAATGTTGTTTTTAAAAACCTTTTTTACTGGAATATTGAGAGCTTATTGATTTGTTGAATTATTTATTTGAGTGATTATATCGCTCATCAATTACGTAATGGAGGATTTATATTTGTTATATTATTCAGTGATTTAACAATCTTTTCTATTGATCGAAAAAACTTTAATAGTAGAAACTTTATTACGTCTGAATGAATTTAAAAGAGATTGTTACAGTTGTTATGGGGGCGGAGGGTGGAATATTTGTTTTTGGGTTCTGGGGGAGATTATTGTCAGAGAGGGGGTGAGGGTGAGGGCTGGGATTGGTACGGATATTGGCATTTAGATTCTGTTGTTGAGGTGGTGTCTTTTTGAAGATGAAAATGTTGTTTTTAAAAACCTTTTTTACTGGAATATTGAGAGCTTATTGATTTGTTGAATTATTTATTTGAGTGATTATATCGCTCATCAATTACGTAATGGAGGATTTATATTTGTTATATTATTCAGTGATTTAACAATCTTTTCTATTGATCGAAAAAACTTTAATAGTAGAAACTTTATTACGTCTGAATGAATTTAAAAGAGATTGTTACAGTTGTTATGGGGGCGGAGGGTGGAATATTTGTTTTTGGGTTCTGGGGGAGATTATTGTCAGAGAGGGGGTGAGGGTGAGGGCTGGGCCTGGTACGGATATTGGCATTTAGATTCTGTTGTTGAGGTGGTGTCTTTTTGAAGATGAAAATGTTGTTTTTAAAAACCTTTTTTACTGGAATATTGAGAGCTAATTGATTTGTTGAATTATTTATTTGAGTGATTATATCGTTCATCAATTATGTAATGGAGGATTTCTACGTTTGATATCATTTAGCGATTTAACAATCTTTTCTATTGATTGAAGACTGAACAACTGTTTTTTTTACTCTTTTGCGTTTCAAATGTTCCTTCGATAGTAGAAACTTTATTACGTCCGAATGAATTTAAGAGATTGTTACAGTTGTTGCGAGGGGTGGAGTATTTGTTCTCATGTTGTGGGTGAGATTATTATCAGAGAGAGGATGAGGGTGAGGGCTGGGATTGGTTCGGATATTGGCATTTAGATTCTATTGTTGAGGTGTCGTCTTTGTCAAGATGACGTTGTTGTTTTTAAACCTGTATTTCTGAAACGAGGGTCAATTATCGTTGTTGATTTGTTAAATTATTGATTTGAGTGATTATATCGCTTATCAATTATGTAATGTAGGATATCTTTTTTTTGTTATTTTTGTGATTCACGGAATTTTCCTTGTTGATTGAAGATGAAGCTCTAGTTTCAAACCAATTATCATTGAATTGTTTATTTGATTGATTATAAAGTTCAATCATAATATTATTTATTATTATCATACTATTATTTATTTAGCTCATTGTTTTATTCTTCTGGACTTTATTATACATCTTTCTTCTTTCTTCCATTTCCCCTATAGCCGATTAGGATTTTTATGGTCCCATCCCACCCTGGTATGGACTATCAATTTATTTCAGTCAAAATTTTCTGGTTATTCATATTGAGAATAATCCCGGTTTCGCTCATCCAAATCCCATCAAATCATTTTCTATGACGTCAGAAAGATGTGAAACGTTATATAAATTCCCTTCTTTGATGTAATTAATGTAAAAAAATGGACCCACTAAAATTTTATATGATTAAATGCATAATAATTCAATTTTTTGTTAAATCATTCAAAGCCATTAGAATGAAGAACATCAATTGTTTATATCGTTTATTTTCCGTAGAAATAATCAGGAATTTGTTTTCCTCTTTAAAGCCTACGAATAATTTTTTGTAATGCTCTCAATCCTGACATTTTCGTTGGGTTTCAGTTCCGAAAATTAATTTTACTAGTGTGGCTTTTAAAATAATCCTCATTACATGGTGTAATCCTGGTTTTTTTTTATCAGGGAATAATAAAAAAATCAGTACCCGCAGTAGAAATCTGATTCCGCCAAGTATTATCTTCATTAATCATTATTGAATTGTCCAACATTACTTTTAGATTCGCTCTGTTCAGAACCTTTGGACCCAATAAAATATTATATTATTAAATTCAGTATTTAATAATTGAATTATTTTTTAAATCATTCCAAAACATCAGAATGAAAGATATCAATTGTTTATATCGCTTATTTTTCATTGAAATAATCGAAATTGTTGTTTTTCTCTTAAGACTACGTATTGTGCTTTGTAATGCTCTGAGCGCCGGAATTTTGGTGGAGCTTCCGCGCCTCAAATTGATTTTACCAGTGCGGCTTTTAGAATGATCCTCATTACGTGGTGTAGTCCTGGATTTTTTTATCAGTGAATAATCAAAAAATCACTCCCCGAAATAGAAACCTGATTCCGCCAGGGGTGAGAAACTAGGTCGTTGACTTTTTTACATTTTTTCTTCAAGCTATTATTCGATTTTTTTCTCTAGGCTATCGAGTTACATGAGAGGGCGAATTTTTAGGAAGATAAATGGGCATCACCCCGAGGGTGGGACAACAATCAAACGCAAAAGGACGTGCTCAAACGTTGTAAGGATGCTTGAAATAATTTAAAAAATGGTGAGAGCAAAGATTTTTTTGTGTATTTCGTTTCTTTTTTGGTTGCATTCAGATGTGATGGACTAGAAATTAATAATTTCTCATACATCCTCATAATTTCTCGTCGACATTCTCAATTACTTTCATATTTTTCATCAAATTAAATAAAGCCTCAAACTAAACAAGAAAATTGGTACAAAACTGTATCAGACGATAACTTCGTCGTCTTTTCTGTTGATGGGATCACCCCTGAGTAATGCAATAATGAGACTGAAATCAGAAAAAGAGACGGTTAGAGTTCCTGGAGAATGTCCTTCTGGGTATGACTGATGAGAGAGGAGGCGTTACCAGTAGAGATAAATGAAGAAGAAGATGAGATAATATCCGAGGTAAATCAAGCAGTCTCTGGTGTGCTTCTTCAATTGTCCCCTGTTGTGTATTTCGGTGGGATCGAAGACGCCCATGTTGCCCTGGGGAACGGTCAAGTACTCGCCACTGAGCCACAGGCTCATTGGGAGATTCACAAGTGCCAATAGCCACTGGCCGTGGATCAGCAGTATCACGTTGAGGAGTGTGTGTGCAACGAGCTTTGGTACAACCCACTGCGAATAAAAAGAAGTGCTCAGGAGGAGTTTATCAACTTTAACGACCCCGCGACTACACGGAGAAAAGAAGTTGAGGGAATGGAATCGCTTCTACATTTTTTTCCCTGTCTCATTACGTGACAATTTATTTTTCAATTATTCTTACAAAATGTGCATTTTCACTGATTTTTCAATCTCCAATATTTTCTTTCCCGGAAATTCGACGAGCTAAAGAAATTTCACGGACAGATGAATAGTAATATTCAGAAGAGGAACATTAAAGTCAATTGTAGGGGGGAAAATCATAACATTTTAAATTCCAATGAAAATTTAAAGGAATTGAAAATTGTCCATCCGCAAGAACACGAGAGTTTCTCAGTTAGTTGAATTCTCGATCATTCTCGGAGAAAAGAAGTTGAGGGAATGAATCTCCTCTAACTAGTTTGGAATTCTCATCATCAGTTTTTTTCCCTGTCCCATTACGTGAGAATTTATTTTTCAATGATTTTTTCAAAATGTGCATTTACGGTGGTTTTTCAATGTGCAATATTTTCTTTCTCGGGAATTAGACGTACTAGAGAAATTTCTCGAGCAGCTTTGTGATCGGCGTTAAAAAATCTTTAAAATCGCGAATTATACTGGTTCCCCTCCTACCCAGTCCAGAATCCTATCCGACAATATCCTATAAGGTCACATGATGTGGAACGCTATATAAAGTCCCTTCTCCTGTTAAAGATGTCATCCTTCAGGGCGAGATCAACCCAATTTTGTAATATCGTGTTAATGAATAACTTGAACAATTGTGGAGCGAGAAGACTTGATTAGATTTACATCGAAAAAATCGTGAAATTAAAAAATTAACAGAAAATTGAACGGAATTCTAAATTTTTGGGCAGCCAAAAGATGAGAATTCTCCAAAAAAAAATTCACCGTTACATCGACTCATTTCATTTTCAATTGAATTCTGCTCCGTTTTAGACTTCAATCTTTACGAAATATTTCAGAATTGGAGGGAGATACCTCAATTTTTGTAATAAATTTTTTTGTAACTTTGATTCCGCTCTACAAAAAAGGTCTTCACAAAAAATATCCTCCCTCCCTTCACTCCGAAGATATTCATCAAAAACTAATTCTTAAATGAAGTAGACACTTTTCCTCCCCAAAATATCTGTATTAATTACCTTATTTAATCTCAAGCAGCATTGCTGAGCATTCAAATAATCACATTCAAGATCAGAAAGTGCAATCACCTGAATCATCGTCAATTAAGAAAAATATTCCCACCAATTGAGCTCTTAATCATTTGAAACCTAGAGAATAACGGTAAAAAATCCCCCACAAACTGCTCCAACCTCTGAAGTAATCAACTCCTCATCAACAAAACTCCGATAGAAATTCAACAAATCCGAAGTAATTCCCATCGAATAATCACGAATGAACACTTAGCTGTTAATAAAAGGATACGAAGTAGACCAGAACAAACAGCACAGCTCCAGTATCAAGGAGAGCTGCGGCAAACAACAACGGCTCCGAAAACAAGCCCATTTTATTTCAACTGAACCAAACGTAAATAATCACTAAATAATCACAGGAAAGTCCTCAGTCACACGGTCTGCACTCGCGGTATTGTTTCACATAATTAAAATTCACTCTCATTGTTTATAAATCCGAAAAAACGTGGGGAACAGAACGAAAAAGTGCCGACAGTACCGACTGGACTGTCAGAGAGATGAGTTGGTGTGGTGCCAACTGCGTCGTCAATTTTCCCTAGGGTTCATCAATAATGTCCCTATCACAACAATATTCAACATCAAATTCATTTGTGATTGATGCATAAGTAATTAATAATCAAGAAAAGAATCTCAAAATTTTCTCCAGAATTTTCAATCAGTGCAATTGATGTTTTTCTCACTCAATTCTCGAATTTTCAATCATGAAAATAAGACGTGTCATGTGCCACCTGCTGCGTATGATGTTTGTGTACTTCTAAGTTGCTGTGATAATCGATATCATTGAAGAATAACTTGTTAAACAGAAATCGTGACTCAGGGAGTAGTAAAATAGTTTGGGGTGTTGGAATGTTTCGAGAGTCAGCGAAAATTGTTGTCGACGATGGACAGGCACCATCGGCTCCATTTGTTGTTAATGTTTGGATGGAGGACTTTCTGGAGAAGCTTAAGGTCCTTAATTATGATACTGAATTTGTCCAGGAGCTGAAGATGAAGCCGATCAATAGGTAAACAAACACCTTGTTTTGAACTATTTTGATTTATAAATATTTCCTGGCTGAACTACACGATTTGAATTAATTGCATTTCGTTGTGAAGGCAATGGAAGTCTCTTTTAACTGAAAAAAAATGTTGAATTTCACTCAGCTGAACTTGAGTTCTTAACTATGGAAATTAGTCCATTTTACAGCTCTTCCCTACATTTTCACTGTTAGAAAAAAATGGAATTTCATGGAGGATTTGGAATCAATTGCAGTTGAGGGGAAGAAATCGTAAAATTTCCAATTTCTATCAAAATTTGATGAATTTTCGAATTTGTGCGCAGCAAGAAAATAAGAATTTCGCAACGTACTTGAATTTCCAATTAATTGAAGATTCCGAGATATATCTACCTGAAATTACTTGTATTGTATTCATTTCTATGGAATATTCTAACTGAAATTTAGAGTTTTCATTGATTCTTTCATCAATTTGCGAATCTTCAGAGACAAAATTTCTTGAAATTTCAGTACAAGTATCACTTGATGAAAACTTTCAAGTAATGTATCGAAAATTTCATCCGAAAAATTTTATCGGTATATTTTCTTTCTAATTTTAGGCCAAATGTCACTCGTTAAAAATCCCCAACACACTGTTAGAAGAAAATTGAAATTTCGTGAACAGTTTAATAATACTTTTTGGAAAAGCAACATTGAGCTGGATTTAGGGGGGAACATCATGAATTTTTAAAATTCAAGTTTTTGAGTAGCAGGAAGACGAGAATTCCCTAACTTATTTGAATTTTAAATCAATTGAAGATTCAAAAATATATCTGCCTGAAATTTATGATTTCCATTGATTCTTCCATTAAATTGTAAATTTCTATTAACAAAATTCCATTAAATTTCAGTGGAACTATCACTTGATAAAAATTTTAAAGAAACGTGCGAGAAATTCCAACTAAAAAATGTTATCAGTGTAATTCTCCGAATTTTATACCAAATGCCGCTTTTCAAAAATTCCTAACACTGTTAGAAAAAAAATTGGAATTTCGTGAACAGTTTACTAGAAGAATATAATAGAATACTTTATTTCCTTGATACTACTTTTACAATTTTACATCTTCACAACCCATAGAAAGATACTCCCAATAACACACTCCAATAAATTATGTTTTCATATAAAATAATGAATAATGAGTAATAATAATATTCCAATCTTAACAGTTTTAACAATTATCAGGAGGAGTCAGAAGGACTCCACTTGATGAAAAACACATTTGAATAATTCGATTTTGATCTGATATTAAATTATATTATGATTACGATCAATTTACTAGTATCTTTAGAAAAGCGACATTGAGTTGGATTTCAAAATTCAAATTTGTGAGCAGCAGGAACGCGAGAATGCCGCAAATTACTTGAATTTTAAATCAATTGAAGACTCAAAAATATATCTGGCTGAAATTTAAAGTTTTCATCGATTGTAAATTTAAATTTTCATTCATAAAATTGCTTGAAATTTCGGTGAGACTGTCCCTCGCTAAAAATTTCCAAAAAATGTACCTGAAAATTAAAAAAGCATTACACAATACTAAAATTCTCCAGGCATTATTTCGTCATCCCAACGAACCCAGGAGAGCAGTTCTACATGTTCACGACCCTGGCAGCCTGGTTAATAAGAAAATCGGGGAAGAATTTCGAGTATCCTCAGGAGTCTGATGACCCGAATTCAACGATAGCATTGATCCTGGACTACTTGAGGGGGACAGGTGTGCCCGTTGAGTTTCCCCCCAATAAATTGAAGCAGGGGGTGGGCGAGCACGCTATCTACGTGCTAGACCATCTGGCTGATCAGGCGATCAAGGTCTCTGGTTTCAAATGGAAGAAGTAAGATGATAATTGACATTAAACTAAGCTAATTGCGGTTTGTGCCGTTGATTTTTCTAAACTGGGGAATTTTTCAGAGCTGAGATTCCACCGGATGATCCCAACCAGGAGCCAGAGATCGAGGAGGACGAGGCTGAACTGATCCTCGAGAAAGTGGAGGAAGAGATGATGGCGGAGTACGATGAGGAGGATGATGATGTTCTCCATATCGATGATATCACGAAACTTTATGGAGCGGCTATGGTAAGAGCGTAAAATATAACATTCCCCCAATTTCTCGATGATCCTTTTTTGGTGCTTATGAAAAAATACGGAAATAATCTGAAGAAATTCGTCCAGAGTGCGATAACAACAAAATAAATTTGAAATGAAGTATTGAAATCCAAGAAGTAAATTGATGTTCCCATATAAGTAATTTTGATTGAATAATTAAATCAGAGGCTATTAGTATCCAATTTTGTAATGAAAATTCAACCCTTCCAGATGTATATTAACAGTTAAATCTTTAATGAACCGTTATTCATTATTTAATGTGCCCATTCTTTACAATATGCATATTCAGTGTTCCATGAAAAATGTGATTCCATTCACTAATAATTTCACGGAAAGCCTGGAATTTTCATTGGAAAACTAAGCCAAAATTCTTCACCAGTCATTAACGACATTGTTTTCGTTCCAGGATGATGTTCAGAAGCCGGAAAATATTTTAGAGTCTCAGACCGATACAGAAGAGTGGAAAATGGAGCTGGAACGAGTTCTTCCTCAATTGAAAGTTACGATTAAAACAGGTAAAACAGAAAAGAGTCAAGTTTTCAAAAGATTTTAACAATTTATTGGTGTAAAACCAATAAAAATTGTCAACGTGTTTAATATATTTGAAAGTAAAAATACAAATTTTTGTGAATTTTGCACTCACGAAGTTTTTGTGTCAAAAGAAGAAATCGAGAAACAGCGGGAATTCCTTCATTGTCGGAACACTTGAAATCTAATGCACTCTAATTCGTTTAGATTCTCGAGATTGGCGTGCCCACCTGGAGCAAATGAAGCAATTACGAGCCAACATATCCACAGGACTGAATGGCACCAAAAGCCAACTAGATAAATTGCAATCGGACATTGGGAACACTTTAGATAAAATAAGAATGCGGGAAATGTACCTGAATAGACAATTGGAGCCAACGTTGAACGAATTTCGAGTACTTCAAGAAGAACTATCGAAAGTTAAAGAGCATTACAGAGAAGTCAGTGGTGGTGTAACCGAGAGAACTCGAACTTTGAACAAATTAACTGAGGAATTGGAGCAAGTGAAGAAGGAAATGGACGAGCGAGGGTCCAGTATGACCGATGGAACGCCCTTGGTAAATATAAAGAAGAGTATAACGAAAATGAAGGCCGAAATTTCGGAGATGAGTGTTAGAATTGGGGTTTTGGAGTACAGTTTAATGTGCGCAAGAATTCGGGATAGAACGCAACTGCAAGAGGACATGAACAGTAGTAATTCCAGTTTATTAATTAAATGAATTGATGAATTATAAAGAAAATACAAAAATCATGTGAATGCATGCGTCCACAGTGTGATAACAATAGAATAAATGTAAAATGAATTGTTGTAATTCTTTAAAGAGAAGTATTACCGTATTCTAGTCAAATAATCCAATAATTTCCGACGACAGAAAATGTAAATCATTACAATTTAATAAGAATAAAGAATTTATTCAATTACATAAATTCGGGACATTATTCATTCCTATGGGCAGCACTAATTCTAGGTTGCTAATTGAATTATTCATTTATTTACTTATTTTTTAATTCAATGAATAATTGAATTGGTAAAAAATTAGCGGCAGTAGTGGTCACAGAGGTAGCGTGCGGCTCAGGCGGTCGTAAAGCTAAGATTAGTATTTGGATGGGTGTCCGGTTAGCCCTATCCGGTCGTGTGGAACTGCTGCCATCAGACGCGAATGTAAAGATCTGTTGTATACATTTAATCAGTGTGACAGAGAGGCACAATAGGGCCCTGCAATATCAGCCGAATGTACAACTGGGGTTTTCCATGGTTTCCCTTGCAACCCTAGCCTGAACGGGGTGCAGTTGGGTAAAGAGTAAAATGTGGTAACGCAGATACCCACCTGTACCAAAAATAAATTGAAAAACATAATGACTTACTCTCAGACCTTTTGATTCTAAGAGTAACTAGATTTTCGAACACTTTTCCCATGTTAATTCTCCTTTCCGAATTTACATATAATTTACAATAAAATAAATTTTAAATAAATCAATAAAATTCCCTCCCCGAGGATCAACATCTAGTCGAATAATCCATTAATTTTCAACGACACAGACGACGGGAATGATTTTAACATGAAGAAAAAACTAATTAAACTGCAAGAATAAAATTCCTACAGTTACAGATTTTAGTGATGATGCGAATTATTGATGCTCATAAAAATAATTCCTTTAGAAACACATGAATAATGAAAATTCTAATTAAATAATCAAATCAATCAAAAAATGACTCGAAAAACAACAGTTTAACAACATAACAACAGTTCAAAGAGATCGTTTACAGTGTGATAAAAATAAAATAAATTTTAAATAAATTAATGAGATTTCCTAATCCAATAATTCTCAGCGATAAAGACGACGTGAATAATTTCAACATGAAGAAAAAAAGAACTAAACTGCAAGAATAAAATTCATACAGTTACATTTCAGTGGTGATATGAATTATCGATCCTCATAAAAATAATCTCAGTACTCCGAAGAATTCTGTTCCCATTTATCTCGCCCTCATAATCACCTCAGAGAGGGGGCAGATTTATCAAACATGAATACTCCGTTACGAAGGCCACAAAAAATTCACCCATCCACATTACGCCTCCCCCCTCTCTCCCTTAATGACGTCCCGTCATTAAGCAAAAATGTCGCACGTCTCACTCCCAAAGACGAAACTCTGAAAGACCCACTCCACTCCCTTAATTGCGCATTGCTCTGAAAAAAACGGATGGAGGGAATGAATGTGAGCCTTTTACGGTACATATTTGCAGAGTTCAACTTTAAAGGAAACCTGTAAAAAATTTCGAGTATGCAAATTAGAACTCCGTAAGCAAGTTTGTTGACCCAGAAGGAGAGTAAACGCCGTAATTGCGAGTCTCGCTGTTATGTTTTAATGTTTAATCACCGCTGGTTCGTGCCATGAATTTTCACGGATTGAATATTTCATTCTTGTGGATAAATGCTTTCGCTAATGGAATGTTTCTGGTTCACAGTGGCACTGGTAGCTTCATTTTTCTGTTATGCAAGTTATCGCTCTGCTAATTTTACACATTCTTATCGCAGTTTCATTTTTCGTAGCGCAGAGTTTAAGGAAAAATAGTAGAATACTCGATTAGAATTTAATATTTGACTATTTCTCTTCTCGATTTTTGTTTCCGGATGGGAGCATTGTAATCGTTCAAATTTAAGACCCGCGTGCATTATCTTTTGAACGTGATTTCGGTTGTTTTCTTTATTTTGATAATCTGACATGTTTTTCAATTGCCATTCAATTTTACATAGCCCTGTAGAGTCTTAAAAAATTATAATCATACAATCAAAAAACGTTGAAAAAAAACTGAACATTTTCAAAAAACTTTTTTGAATAATATGGAGAAATAAACCCCATAAGGAGGAAATTGTAAATTAATAATTTACAGTATCTAATGGCTGTTCAGTCGTCATTTGACTCAGTAACCAATGCCTTTCAGATCGTTAGTTGCCATGTTAAAATATCCATTTATAATTTCCTCTCTGTCGGGCTTATTTCCTAATCTTCATTAAAAATGTTCTTTGAAAATGTTCAGTTTTTTTCTATTTTTTTGGTTGTGCAATCATAATTTTTAGAGACACCTAACGTGATGTAAAATCCAGTGGAAATTGTGATGTATTTTAGATTATGAAGATGGGAAAACAAACGAGATAACTTTCGAAAGATAAACCATCCGGGCCTTAAGTGACGGATTTTTTGTGTCATATCAACTTATTATGATTCAAAAAGTTCGAATATTACATTTTTCAATTTAATTGGTTAACGACTTCTAGAATCGAGATTCAGTATTTTTCGCTCATAATGATCTATTGGTAGTCGAAAGACTCGTGGCGCCCATATTTTCCCGTTGGGAAGGTCAATTGATTTTCATGATGATTTTTGTAAATTTAGAATTTTTCGTAAATTACTCTAAAAGTAAACTTTCTGATGGTTTCATCGAATATCATGTTTCGATTCACTCCATAATATAGATAGCATCATTCTTCCATTCAATTTTTAAAAAAATTTCGGAAAATATTCTTAAAACATGCAAAAGTTTTTTGATGTTCCATCTTTTGGAAAAATTCCTGCCACTAATTATTTGAATAAAAACAAAAAAAAGGTTACAAATGACTTCATTATCATTAAAACGACCCACTTCGCCTTCACTTTCATCGAATAAATAGATGGTATAGATACACAATATTTTATATTTGAAATGTCATCAAATATTGAACTAAAGTAAAAATACAACAGAAATGATTAAAAAAGAGATTTCATTACATTTAATAAAACGATATGGAATGATGAATTATATACTATAGAAGCAGATGATGTGCATACTGATCATTCGGAAGCATTTCGCTAATTCATTAACAAAAAAACGATACTATATTAATATAAAAGCAATTTCCCACTTCCTGTGATTTTCAATCATTAGAAAATATATTCGACGGTGAGAAAATAGTTAAATTCATTCATATCGACGAAATAATGAATTTTGAAGATATCAGTCGGTTTCAGTCTCAGATGTAAATGACGATTAAATGCCTGAGGAGATGCATGCGCGTTATTTATTCATCTGGAAATAATTGAAACGTGTTCATGGAAAATTGTACTGAAGAAAACCACTCTTCCCACTTTCTCTCCATTTATTTATGTTTTTCTCTCACTTATCCCTACAATTTTGTATCACAACTGCCCCCTCCTTCCTTTCTCTGCTCATGTGTGATAGAAAATACCGAGCCGAAGCGGGTAAAATAACGTTTGCGCAGGCCAGTCACCGACGAAGACTCGCAAGTGCAACTAACGGGCTCAATGTTCAACAGTTCTGCAGTTCAACATTTCAATAATAGTTCGTCTAACGACAGATGTGATAAGTGTATTTTTGTTGTTTCCAATAATTTTGTGCATAAGTAATTTCGGAACTGCCGGGAATAAAGAAGAACATCTTCAGGTAATTTCAAAAAATCATAAATTTAGACAATTTGAGATGGATTTTGGAAAAAGTGAAGTTAAAATTTATTCACTTTCGTATTTTCTCATTAAAAAATACTCAATTGTCCTATTCGGTTGCGGGAAATTACGTTACAAAGGGGGGAATTTATCCTCTGTCTCACGTTTTTCCTTCCATTTCCGATAAAAACCCTTGAAACATTATTTTGCTCATAATTTTTTGTTGATATTTACCTCGTTAATTTCATTCATTAAAGAAATAAGACTGATTGAATAGAATTGATCTGAAATTCCGGGGAAGAATGAATATAATAATCGATATTATCATAAAAATTTTCGTTTTCATGAACAAAACAAAAACAGCGGAAATAATTATCATTAAAATTTGCCGTTTCTCACTGAAAAGTGGTCATCCTCAAGACAATTCGAGAAGGGTTTTGATAAAAAACTGAAGTGAAAATTTATTCATTCTTTCGTACTTTTTCATTGAAAAATACTCAATTTTCCTATTCGTTTGCGGGAAATTATGTTGCAAAGGGTGAAATTTATTCTCTATCTCACGTTTCACCCTTGATTTCCGATAGAGACCCTTGAAACATTATTTTGCTCATAATTTTTTGTTGATATTTACCTTGTTAATTTCATTCATTAAAGAAATAAGACTGATTGAATAGAATTGATGTGAAATTCCGGGGAAGAATGAATATAATGATCGATATTATAAAAATTTTCGTTATGATACACAAAACAGCAACAGCAGAATAATTATCATTAAAGTTTGCCATTTCTCATTGGAAAGTGGTTAAACAAGCCTTCGCACATTCACATGACTTTCACCCGTTGAACAATCGAATATTAAAAAATCCAACCGACCACGGTCGAGGTTTTCCCCCTCATTATGTCACCGTTTCATTATATTATTTGTCGTAACAAACACCAATGTCCTGTGTATTCTAATCAATCGTGACCTTCCATGACACGCAATGAAAATGATGGGGTGATAGATTCGTTGATATCGACTTGTGACCAAGAAAATATCAAGGGTGATTGAATATCCTGAAATATTCATCATCCCGGAAATAGTGGATCGCGGTTGGAACCACAACCACTCTTCATCCACTTCTAAATTTTAGAAGAGATCTTCAACGATGACGTCATCGATTGCCACTTTGAGATATACGAGTTTTGTGTTCTTGAGTGGCTTCTTGACACAGAAATCACGTGCGCGGATTGAACCGCAGCCCTATATCGATCAATTAGTATTTACCATCAATTTCGTTGAAAACAAAAAAAAATATATCCGAATTGATTCAATTATATTCTATACTCGAATGAAAAATAAAATATATTTGATTCAAACATATTAGTCTTGATTTGAGTCGAGAATAAAATATACTTGATTCAAACATATTATTCTTGATTTAAGTCGACAACAAAATATACTTGATT